CAGGTAAAGGTTCGAATGCGCTGTTGTCGGTGGTGACTAAATGTAGTGCAACGTAAAAAAAATAAATAAAACTAAACATAAAAAATTGTATTAAATTGTGTTTAAACATAATTTCAATAAAAAAGTTATAAAATCTTGAATCTATAACTAATTAATTTAACTACTTTTCATGATATTTTGCGAACATTTCAGAATTAAATCTATTAAAATTTTTCAATGTCGACAATTAGTGGCAACACGGTCAAATTGCGAGCTGCGACGTCATAGAAATAAATTCTGGGTTTTTATTTGGAGGTAATTCTTTTTTTTCTGTTTTCTCAAGAAGGACTATGAATACAGAAAATTCTGTTTTTAGTTGCTTTATCCAAATATGCCTTTTGACATTGTAATATACAGGGTGTTCCATTGAAAATAGTGGAGAATTTCGATGTTGAAAAACTGCATTTTCTTTACTGGCCCGGTATAAGTATCAAAAAAATGAGCAACTAACCAAAAAAAAAACTTTAGGCCAAGAGAAGTCGACTGGCGCAAACCGCAGATGGCTAGCATACTTGGTTCAAAAGTTATGAGCATTTGAAATGGGTCACTCTCGGCTGGGACGCCCTGTATTATTCAAATTTCAATCACTTAATAATATATTTTCTTACATTTTCCGATCAAAAATTATTCGCAAACGACCCCAATTTGGCTGAAATCGATTCACAATTACCAATTTTAATCTCTTGATAGCCGCCATTTTGCAAATGGTCGCCATCTTGCTCCTATGGGTCCGACAAGGGGGTCACGCGGGTCAAATCGCTTATAATTGTAAAAAAATCATCTGTACCAAATTTCATGCTTTTATCACAATTTGCAAGATTATTCGACTAACCGCCCCGACTATTAGTAAGCGGCGGCCGCTTCAAAAAAATATGGCGCCAAAGACGCCGCTTCAAAGAAATATGCCGCCAAAAACGCCGCTAAAAAATCTAAGAAACATGAAACGTGAAACATAAAGCATGAAACATAAAACATGAAACAATAAACCACGTAGAGCGAAACCGTTTCTTTCTTGCATACTAATTAAAAAAAAAAGAATAATCTTTGCAAACTCTTTTGGTAGTGTAGTGGAGGCTAGAGGGTAGCATACTGTATAAATTCAGCTCCAAGAATCCACACATTATTTAAGTTCCTGTGGCCCAAACCGCATACAAAATCCCAAAACTTCGAAGGACCATAAAGGAAACCCAGCAAATTAACTCAAGTATATTTTATTTTACTGGACCCAAAACTAAGCAACGGTACACATACGACGCACTTAGCCTGTCAAACACTGGTTCAAAAAAACGAATCAACAAAAACTAATATTCCTTGTTATTTGTGGAAAGCAATAACCCAAAAACATGAATCTTACTAAAAAATAGAAATCGGCGGGAATTTATAATAATTATCATGTAAAATAAACTTATTTTGCGCCCGAAAACTGAGCTAGTCGCGGACCGCCGTAGTTCCACCCTTGAGGTCAAGAGTAAGACTAATTCGAATAAAAATCTACTTCTGTGCGTCTTTCTCGCACAAACTTAAAAAATGACAAGGATGCAAAACCGGGGTGGCCACTGACAAATCGATATTGGGTGGTACATCCTGGTACAGCGACTGGCTCCCATTTAAGAGCCCCATACACTACGATGAAACACGACGGTTTTCACCGCCACGATGAAACACGTCGTTCTAAAACCGAAGTGTGTAAAGGGCCCCATACACTACGATGAAACACGACGGTTTTTACCGCCACGATGAAACACGTCGTTCTAAAACCGAAGTGTGTAATAGAAAAACACGACGGTTTTCTACAGGGCCCCATACACTACGATGAAACACGACGGTTTTCACCGCCACGAGTGTGTGGTAGAAAACCGTTCGTGTGTACGAAATGTTGAACCGTCGTGCCAAAAATCAAGCTCGGACTGAATTTTGAACCGACGATGAAACACGACGGTTTTCTACCACACACTTCGGTTTTGGAACGACGTGTTTTATCGTGGCGATGAAAACCGTCGTGTTTCCTCGTAGTCTGTGGGGCCCTGTAGAAAACCGTCGTGTTTTTCTATAACACACTTCGGTTTTAGAACGACTTGTTTCATCGTGGTAGGGAAAACCGTAGTGTTTCATCGTAGTGTATGGGGCCCTTAATAGAAAAACACGACGGTTTTCTACAGGGCCCCACAGACTACGATAAAACACGACGGTTTTCATCGCCACGTTGAAACACGTCGTTCCAAAACCGAAGTGAATTCAGTCCGAGCTTGATTTTTGGCACGACGGTTCAACATTTCGTATACACGAACGGTTTTCTACCACACACTTCGGTTTTGGAACGACGTGTTTCATCGTGGCGGTGAAAACCGTCGTGTTTCATCGTAGTGTATGGGGCCCTGTAGAAAACCGTCGTGTTTTTCTATTACACACTTCGGTTTTAGAACGACGTGTTTCATCGTGGCGGTGAAAACCGTCGTGTTTCATCGTAGTGTATGGGGCCCTTTACGTAGGCATAGGTGCATGTTTGAACAAAAAATAATCTATAAATAGAATTATTCCCTGAATTGCGAACCTGAAATTTGATTTGATATAAAAATAATAATAAATGGCAGACTTAATTTTAAATTATATTTTCTACAAGATTTTGTCTGCATTTTAATTCACGACACATACAATGGAAAGTGATGGGCAACAACAACTGCTGTTGTGGCAACCTTTTTATTATCGTCCTAAAGCCAAAAAAAAGGAAACAACGTTACTGGGTACATCCATACGATAAGGCAACGTTTTGCCAGGGTTTTTCTTGTGATTGTCTATTCGAGTAGGTACTCCTCCATTATAATTATACAATTTTCCATAAAGCTCCATCACCGAAACGAACACAATAATAATTTCTTGGTCTTCATTGTCTTCATTAATTTTTTTATGAGTGTATTTATGACCAAAAACCGTGAAACTGAAACAAAAATATAGAACGCGATCTATTTCATGAAACACGTTTCATGTAACAAAAATGTTTCTCGCGCATGAAACAAATTCGTTTCATTGATGGGCGGACTTCTATTTGTTTGCCCTTATTCTATTTTCATGAAATGTGTTTCACGTTTTATGTTTCATGTTTCACGTTTCATGTTTCTTTGATGTGCGGCCTCCCTAACCAATAAGATATTCTTGGAGTCAACGTTGACTGTATAAAACAACCAATAGGATGCATTGTTCGCACGTGGATTCGCATCCAATGTATACGGGCCCGCTCCATATGTACAATACAGGGTGATTCAAAAGTAAGCGGCATCCTTTCGGAGGCGTATTTCTTGCATAAAAATAAGACAAAAAGTTCCTATTAACATGGGTTCGGAAATGCTTCCTAAGGGAGCTACGCCCCTTCGAATAGGACACCTGAAAGACGTGTTTTTCTGTATAACTTTGAAACCCTTCACAAATGGATTTTGAAAATTGGTGTATTTTATAAACATTTGATGGCAATTAAGATACTAAATTGAAAATTCAAAAATCTTAATCGGTGTCACATACTGGGGAGGGTGAAAACATCTCTATTTTTTTTTACTCGTCAGGTTTTTGCGAAACATACGCAAATCAGAAAATTTTCAAAGTCAATTTTCTCGTAAACGGTACGCTGTATCGAATTGAACCAAGAGTAGCTTTTCTGTGTAAAAAACTGTAAACTTTCTGAATTTTCAATCAGAATCGCAAAAACCTGACGAGTAAAAAAAATTGGATGTTTTAACCCTCATCCTCCCCAGTATGTGACGCCACTGATTAAGATTTTTGAAATTTCAATTTAGTATCTTAATAGACCTGTCTCGCATAAATAGAGAAAGAGAGCTTAATTGTAATAAATACAAGTTAGAAAGTAATAAAAGATGACATGCGCGCGCAACTCGTAGGTTCAGTGTAGCCAGATTGTATTGTTGCAGAACAAATAAAGACAATACAAATCGAACATTATAACATTAAAGAAGTGATATAGTGTCAAGTGTCAACGCCTTGAATCAGACAAAAGAAGCGCTTGAAAAGTTTATGTTAACATCGTTTACACTTTTATTTTGATAAATGTTTCATCCGGCAACATCGCACAATGAAATTGCAAAGGAATATGTCAAGTATAATCTGACAAAACCTTAAACGACACTGCGGTGAGTAATATGTAAAGTATTAGTTTGCTCTTTGTCGAATTACACGTTACCAAGAAAGAAGGAACGATTCACTCTGAACTGGCCCCTGAATAAGAATATGACGCAAACCTGTACCAAACTTGCTTCTCATTGGACGCTCACCTGCAGCCTACAAGCGACGCGCGCAGTCCAGGTAATAGGAGATCGGTCTATTGCCATCAAATGTTTATAAAATACCCAAATTTTCAAAATCCATTTGTGAAGAGTTTCAAAGTTATAGAGAAAAATACGTCTTTCAGGTGTCCTATATTTTTTGCCTAGTCTCATTTGAGAAACGATAGACTATACTTATCTCTTAACATTTGTTTAAAGCTAAAAATGTTACTTTGGGTCTGAAAATTCATAGTTAAATGAAATTATGGAAAACTATCATCTCATTGTGAATAATGTTTGCTTTCACCCGAGTCTTGTGACAAAAATCAAAATTGCTTTTGACAATGACAATAATGTAGAATCATCATGGCAGATTGCCATTGGCACAGGAAAGACCCTATAAAAGGCCAAAAATCCTTAGGATTTAGTTAATTTGTATATTGAAAAACTAATTATTACCTACATAATTATTTTGTAGATTTTTGGTAATTAAACAGACACTTAATATAGGTAATCCATTATATTAACTAGTTTAAACAACTATTAATTCTAACTATAATACTTGTACCATTTGTAGGTACCTACATCAACAAATTAAACCAACTACAAGATTAAATGCTAAGGGTGAACCAATAACAAAAAAAAAACAACTTGAGTTAATACCTAGTAAATACATAACATAAACAATTTAAGCTACTGGAATGGGAACTTGAACCCTTGGGGATTGAAAGAAAAAAATCCTCCGGCAGATCCAGTCCCAGGCACTTCACCGCCATTTCCAAATGGATCATCAGTAATATTCTCGTTTCCTAAAATAAATTTGCAAATTTACTAGCCACCATTCACTTAAATTAGGTATGATATTTGATTGGAAAAAATTTAAAAAAATTACAAAATCGGCAATGCCATATTTGTTGAGGTTTTGTTAAAGAAAATGATAAAAAAGTACAAAGTGGAAAATTCGATGACGGGTTTCGAAGACCAAAGTTATCTCCTGGGTAAAACCTCGTTGGGCACCCTGTATATTTATTGATTGTAGTGAGAGGTAGAGACTTGAGAAACCAATCAAAGGCTGCTCTAATTTCAGTTTGTACTGTGTATAGTATGCGTTTACTAAAAAATCATTCACCAGAATTAGTCAATTCCATTCCACCAGCATCCTCATCTTCTGCTTCTGGTAAAGAAAGATTGAAAGAGCTATTCAAGCTGGAAGGTTGCTCCTAAAAATATCATAAATACATACAACCAAATTTTGACTAAACCTAATTGACTAGTAAATTCACAATTCCTTACCGGAACGTTTTTATAACTAAACTGTGTAGAAGAATTTCCAAACGGAAACATATCGAACGGATTTTCATGTCCTTCTCCCAAAGAGCCTCTAAGATGCGCCCGTTTAGAAAAATCATATCCCATACATTTTGGTTTTTCGATCGTCATCTTCAAAGGTGATGGAGAGTGTTCCAAATTAAATCGGACCGATTTAGGTTGTTCTCGGAAAGTGTCATTAAAGCCGTTTGGATCCTTTGAAGAAGTTAAAATCGATTGAGGGGTAATTTGGGACCCTGCAGTTGATACCAGTTGGCTGCCAAAACTGAGGGTACTTAACTAAAATAATATTTATTCGTTTTAAAATTAGATTTCTTGAAAAATCCAAAACTTGCTATCTTCCGTACGTCTTCATTCTCCACGACTTTTATAAGCACCATCATTTATAGGCAATTTTTCGCGAGGATAACCAACCATACTCGATTATGCTCGTGTCATGCTTCCCTAACTCCCCCACATATATTTATTATACTAGGTATGTATATCGCGGGTTGGTTTGAGTTCTTGAAGCAAACATTATGAGATAGAACGATGCTTTCTTTGTCTAAAGTGGACTTGTTTTTCCAATGCGCATGCGTCAATTTGAAGTTATTCCTCCAATAAGATTTCATTTTAAACAGCTGATATTGCAGGGTTGCCAATAAAATTATTTTCATCTCCGAGTTATTTAAACATTCACAAGAAACATGATGAATTTTGTATTTTGGTGCGTGTAACACATACTCGATTTCGACAAATAAACCAATATATTCATTTTTATTAGTGTTTTGGAATCAAAATACAATCGACCAAATTATAACCTCAAAAAATGATCCTAATTCATTGTACTTTTTAGCTTGACATGACAACACGGCACGAAAAGCTTGATGCAAAATGGCAACCGCTGGCCAATAAGAATCTAGAGTTTAACGCAAGCGCAGTTCATAACCTCGTTCTCCTTCGTTTGACAAAGATAGACTTATGCGAGATCATATAACTTTATCTCTCTTTGTTTGCTTCAATAACCGCACATTGGGTAAATGGGGAAGGCGCGATATAAGTACGTTAGTATAATAGGTATATGCTCCCCCACCATCAAATTCTGGGATACTCGAGGATCAAGAACACTTAACTTCTTCTTTGAGAACAGACTGAGAATCACCTTTTCTACACTTAAAATCGACAAAAAAAAAAATAACTCACTAGCACTGCCTGAATCGCAAGCATTCCATCGTGGTCTGCGGGTGACGTCATCACTATAAGATGCTGATAGCATAGACTTAAATACTACGAATAGACGTCCAGTCAAATGGTAAAAATTTGGAGGCTCGCTATCGAAAGCGAGCCTCCAAATTCAATTCAGGCCTTGGTATTTTGGATGCTGGATACGAGATGGCGCGCATTTCTGTCATAATTCAAATTCGGGCGTTACGCTGTTGCCAATAGTTCTAAAATAACTAGTCCAAAATCATTAAATAGGCCAAACCATACATTAAGACACCAATTTTTTTTATTACTGCATCTTATACTAAATATTATACGCAAATTAATAAATTGTTAATGTTAAGATTTTTTTCCATAAAAAAAAAAATATTGGTCATTAATAATAGCTGAGACAACAGCGGAGTCTGGTTCAGTACTCAGTCATCAGTGGAATGAAGGGCATTCACTAGTATAAAGGCATGTGAAGATAATATATAAAAAACAGGTTCCAAGAAGTTATTTAATTTTTAACTAGAAAAAAACATTCATACTTTGAGCCCCATTATGGTTTTAGTAAATTTTTGCGTAGCCGCGTACCCAAAATCCAAAATCTATTCCTCAAAGGCCGGTTTTGTCGAAAATCATACGACCGGTGATAGAAAATAGACTAAAAACGCATTAATCCAGCAAAATTATGCAATTATTAAAAACTTAAGAAACATATTCGCAAACTTTTACAAACATTTGAACATGTTTGAAAGAATTACAAAATTATAGTTTACTTAGTTAAAATTCTTCCGTTTTTTTATATTTATATCGAAAACCGGCACAATAACCCTATAAACCAGGCATTTATACAAATTAAATTCATATTAGTTTTAAACAATAAGTTTTCCCTTACCAATATTTTGGATCCATTTCTTACAAATTTCTCCATTATCAATGGGAATCCGAAATAATCTCAATCGTCGTTTCTCTGACTTTTGCCACAACTAAAGTAGCAACATTTGTTTCCAGACATTTTGAAAATTAGTTCTTTGAAATCCAAGCAATAATTTATTTCTTCGAAAGTCGCAAATAGCAAAGAGAATTCTTGTCTAGTTTTTTGTCCGTATAAATTTGACAACACCGAAACATCAGAAAAAAGGCGGAATGCGGTTGTCCTGGAAACAATGACACGCTGCTCGTACACAAGGGTGCTAGCACAGTTTTCTTTGAATTTTTAATACGAGTGGCGCCATCTTATGAATTATTGAGGCATTTTTTGTGCTGCTATTTCCACTGGACGTCTATTCGTAGTATTTAAGTCTATGCTGATAGTGATGTCACTCGCAGGCTCAGAATTGGTTGGGAAGGGAGTTAGGGGAGTATGCCACAATTAACAACATGTTTGATTATCTTCGCGAAAAATTGCCTCAAGTCATTGTCATTCAAACAGAGCTCATAATGCTCAAGACTTTTCTAATTAAAAAGGCATATTATAGGATTGAGGGAGATTTGGATGACGACCTAAACATCATTTAATGCCCTGGTTCTTCAGAAGGCTTGAATCTTGATAGTGCCTGCTGTACCTATATTTATTTTTAAATTTTTTTTTGTTCCATACAATTTACATTTTTTTGACTAAAAATGTTGACAACTGTCTAACTGACTTATCAATCATACTACACCTCTCTCTTTAAGCTAAACTGAAGATAGTTCATAAAATATAAAATCTAAGTAACATATTATTTACAAATAGTTATTTGTTTTACTAGGCAGAAAAGTACAAGATTTAATGCCGCGGCTGGTGTTTCATAGCCGAGGCTAGGAAACCAGCCGAGGCATTAAATCTGCTTTTCTGCCATGTAAAACATATAATTTTTTCTCCGAATGTTCAAATTCACACATGTGACATGGACATCTTTTTTATAATTACTTCATTCATTATTATTATCCAAATAATTAAATTATTTTGACAATTGTCATTGTCACCATCAATTTCAAATACCAAATTGAGTGAAATTATTACCTAGAACGTTGTGACACTGTCACTTTTAATGCCTAGGCAGTAAAAATACAACTTTTGATCCTGTCAAGTGTCATTAAAAGGCCGCTTTCACTGTCATTCGGAGAAAATAGTATATTGTTGTATTAGGAGTAGAAGCTTTACTTTTTTGTGCTGAAGCGGTAGGTTTGCGAGCCGAACGTAGTGAGGCTTGCAATACTGCTGAAGCAGAAAAAAGTGCTTCTACTCCGTATGCAACACGCTATTTTTTCTCCGAACGAATGGGGTAACCTCGGAGGCAAGTGAATGGTTGAGCAGCAGTAAAAGTACGAGCGGCACTAAAAGTACTTCTACTGTCGCTCCAGCGGCACTAAAAGTACTTTTGCTGCCGCTGGGGTTGCCAAGCAGCATAGAAATTAAATTTCTACCACCTCGACAGGTGTTAACCCGCCGGATTTGCCTAGCAGCATAGAAATCAAATTTCTGACATCTTGACAGGGGTTAACAAAGTGACGTTTTTCTGACGTTTGGATAAAAACCTTATTTATAAGTTAGGTTACGTAATCAGACGATTTATGTGGCTGATGTACGTCACGTTTCGGTCTATTATTTTCAAGAGTCTTTATTGTTTTTGGTTAAGACTTTTGTTCAGGGACTTCTTTACTAACACTATCTGATTGATAAGGTATTTCCTGTTTCTTTCCACCACACCACCATTATCAAGTCCCACTAAATAAGTCCTTGGCTTATCCAATCTTCTTATATTTTTACCGGGTGTCCACTCGGATTTATCCATTCTTTGCACTCTCACCCCTTCACCATCACTAAGTTCTGGTAAATTTTTTGCATGTAAATCAAAATTCAACTTTTGTTTGTTTTGTCTAATCTTAAGCTTATTAATATAAGAGGTATTTTTTTTTTTTCACCAAAAAATATTAAATTCGGGCAAAAGGCTCTTAGCTTTCCTGTTAAACAACAGAGTAGCTGGCGATAGAATGTCATGGTCAATGGGTGTGTTTCGATATTCCAGGAGACAAAGGTATGGATCTTTCTTAACAAATCTTTTTCATGATATTTTTGAAAGTCTGAATGCACCTCTCGACCATACCATTCGATTGAGCGTGCGTTGGACTTAATGTCAAGTGCTGAATCTTCCAGCAGTTAACAAAATCTTTAAATTCTGCAGAAATGTAATTGGTGCCATTATCCGATCTGATTACATTTGGAATGCCGTGTCGAGCGAAAAAAGACTTTAAAAGATCAATTGTGTGTCTACTTTCTAATTTTTCCAAATGTCCAGTCTCAATAAATTTTTTCTACGAGGAAAAGTGCACTTTTCCGCATGCATTCTAGGTCATGAAAGTACCACTTTTCCGCAAGTAGAATACCTAAAATTTGTAGGTAATGTCTGCTCAGCGACTCTATGTCTACGGGGCAACGGTGAGGGGCATTCCCCTGACCGTTGTGTTTGTTAAATTTTACACCCTCATTTCTAGCTCTATCCAGCACTGCTAATAGATTCTGATCATGTTCTTCCTGGGTTCTACCAAAAACTAATAAGTTATCTATATAGGATGGTCAAGTATCCTATATTTAGCCCCTCAAAAATTTGTTTGAATTACCTTTGGAACACTTCTGGTGCTGAAGCTATACTAAATGGCAGCCTAGAGAACATAATATCTGCCAAAAGGTGTTGCAAAAGTACACAGTTTTTTACTAGATTTATTCAGAGGTATCTAGTAAAAGCCTTGAATTGCATCGAGCAAGATAAAAACCCAAGCTCCTGACAATTGGGCTAGCATTTCTTCTATTGTGGAAATTTGATAAATATTCCCTCTTCATAACTTGATTTATATTTTTAGGATCTAAGCACAACCTTATTTCGCATTTGGCTTTCTGACAGTAACCAATGGATGAACCATTCTGTAGGCTCAGACACTTTTTTAATTATTTTTTATTTCTCTAGCATGTTTAATTCAGCTCGAACTTCCTCTCTAATAGATAGTGGAATTTTACGACCATTATTTGCTACTGGTGCAGCATTTTCTTCCAAAATAATGGTATGTTCTTGTTTTAGGCAACTAATACCTGCGAATAGATTCTGATATTGTGACAGAACATCATTTAGACACACATAATTAATTCTTCTGATTATCCCAAACTTTTTACAATGTTCCAATCCTAAAATTGGTGGACTATTTACAGTATCTACAACAAGAAAGTCTAAATTGGCCATTCGTTTATTTGGGACAATGCAATCCAGAGAACATTTGCCCAAATTTCCAATGCTAGTTTCATTGTAATTTATTAATTTAATATTTAACTTAAATAATTTGGCTCCAGGAATTTGTTCAAATATAGCTTTGGGAATTAGGCTAGCTTGGGCCCCTGTATCTAATTTAAATTTACTTGAACTACTTCAGTCCACTCTTCAACTAATCTGCGGGCTCTATTTACTGAACCAATAAAAATTGTTGCTTCTTCATCTGAGTCCTCATTATTGGTAATTTCTTCAGTGCTGACTTTTTTTACTTGCTTTAGCTTGCACATTTTGGCAAAATGATTTATTTTGTTACATTTTCTGCACGTTTGATTGTATGGTGGACATTTATTTACCTTGTCTGTATATCCACATCTTGTACAGGGTGTCCAAATTTAGATGGTTTTAATAGGAAACGTCAATTTCTGAGAGAGATACAAAAAAATGAACCTCACACTCCGAGGCTCAAATTTCATGAAATCCAAGGAACAATGTGTTGGAAAAGGACTTTATATATATCTGTAAGGAAAATGAGAAAGACCTCTTTCTAACACATTGCTTCTTATGATAAAAAAAAACAGAAATATTTTTTTTCCTCGAAAACTGTCAGGGATAAACCTATCGAACTTATATCATTGAAATCAGCAAAATCAGAGCTTTCCAATGAGCTACTAATATATACGGTGTCCTATAGAAAAAAATCAGACTCTGGTCAAAATCTTGAAATCGGGACCAAATAGAGAAAAACCGAGAACGTCACTGAGCTTTGCTTAAAAAAGTGCTTCCAGAAAGTTTTTACGGCAATCAATTATTTCCATAAACAAAAAAGTTATGACGGTTTCATACAGTACTGCTCAAAATCGAGAAATGCCCTCTAGCGGCTAAACGGTTGAAGATATCAAAATGCGGATTGCACCAATCAAGATTTCAGGAAACTTGAGCCTCGGAGTGGGGGGGTTCATTTTTTTGTATGTTGCTCAGAAATTGACTTTTCCTATTAAAACCATCCAAATTTGGACACCCTGTACATTATTTTATTGTTTTTTCCTTTTCCATGGTATCTTGATTCTGTGTGTCGTGCACTGAGCCCAGCTTTTCTGACCAACTTTGTTTATAGCAAGTGACTCAATTGCTATTTCTTTTACTTGACTCTCGGTAACGAGCACGGCTCGGCACAAGTCGATGCACTTACTCAGAGTTAAATTAGGTTCTGTCAGAAGTTTTTCTCTTAATTTGGAATGCTCGATACCACAAATCAAGCGATCTCTTATCAGTGAATCTTTTAATTTGCCAAAATCACATGAGCTGGATAGTGATTTTAGCTCGGCCACGTAATTCTCAAAATTTTCTCCGGTTTTTTGATTTCTCATAAAGAATTTGTGCCTTTCGTAAGTTACGTCATTAAATTTAACAACAAGAACATCAACTTTGTCCACTTCATTTGATTTAAATTCCAGTGTGTTGTAAATGTCGAGGCCCTCCTGACCCATGCAGTGCAACAACAGACAACATTTTCGTTTTTCATCAGCATTCTGCAAGTCTGCAGCGGCTAAAAATACTTCAAAAGACTGCCTAAACTTTGGTCAGATGTTAGCTGAATTGGCTTCACCGGCTTTAAAGTTTGGGGGTTGCAAAGACTGCCTAAACTTTGGTCAGATGTTAGCTGAATTGGCTTCACCGGCTTTGAAGTTTGGGGGTTGCAAATCCATTTCCAGAGCTTCAGATCACTTTTCTTTTGAACTGCGCCATGTTATAAAATACACAAGTTACGAGATATTACTATTTAACGGTTTTATTTAAACACCATTAAGATTCCATACAACTTACATTTTTTTGACTTATCAATCATACTACAGTTACTCCACATAACTATTGACTCGTGGTGTGTGTGGTGTGTTTACATCACGGCTTATTACCTATAATACTTTCCCTAATTCTCTCTAATATTAGTCTGCTTTATCCACAAAAATATATCCTTTTTTCTGACAATAAAGCATGTTTGATACTGCCAATAAAAAATGAGGAGAGTCAGGAGAGATGGTTGAAAATATGATTGCTTAAAGGGAGAACTTCTAGAGCCACGTTTATAGAAGAAAGTTTGCGATTATGAAGTTGCTTTCTTCTATTTTAGTAATTATTACGAAAGATGAATTTGTACCAATAAATGTGGGAAAAACGTCTCTTTTCAAAACTATTTTCATTTACCTACCCAAGTACGTTTTGTTTCATTACGAGCATGGTGAGCTAGTGAAATATAATTGTTACCTGAGCCTGGGAAGAATATCCAGTCATCATCTGCATTCCATCTGAGCTCACAGTGTCCACTGATTGAATCTGGTTTTGTTTGGACAGTTGGGAAGCCTGAACTGGCATAGGTTTCTTTAACAATGAAACATTTTGAGGGGTATTATACTTCATGGATCCATCTTGTAAGGAACATTGACTTTCTTGGCTTGTATCCGGAGACATTTCAATGCTTGCGTTGGCCTCAGAATCCTGCGTCAACGATTCGGAGACATTTGAAGAGGTCTTTTTCTTGGGCCAATTCGTGCTTAAATCCATGTCCCTGAGTTTGCGTTTTTCAGGCTCTGGAGAAGGGGCGGTGGCAGAAACGATAATGTTTTGGTTTAGGATGCGAATTTTCTCGGGAATCACATGGGGGGCTACGATTTTTCTCGGAGCATGTTCTTCCAATATGAGATGGAGTTTTGATGTATCCCATTCATTTCCTTTTGTCTGCAGCAACACTGATTCTGTAATAGTAGCCAGAAAATTAATGTTTGAAAGGTGGTAACATTATGAACATACCACTCATTCCAGATGTGTTTGCAACTTGATCTATCTGAATGTGTTGACTTTCAGTTTCTTGCTAAAAAAAATAGAAAAAATAATGAATTATGAAGTAAACATTTCATATTTAAGCAAAATCAAATCTTATTTATTTTTTTAGCTACAAGCGTTATGACGTTTTTACATAACCATTTTTCTAGTATTTGAGTTATGTTATGAGACTAGTGGTGTTATAGACTAGGTTATGAATTCATAACACAACTAGTGGTGTTATGGACTAGGTTATAAATCTATAACACAACTATTTTTGGTCATTTGACAATAATTGTCAAAGTTAAACCTGTAAAGGTAAAATGAAGGTAGACAACTACTGATAAACGGAAATAATTTAAAAAAAAAAACATTCTTATTTTTCGCTTTGTAGATACAACGTTGTACATCACATGTGCGTTTAAACATGATTACAAAACTCGTGTGATTAGAACGACTCGGTCTACGACCTCGTCGTTCTAATCTTTCACACTCGTTATTGTAATCATGTTCATAAACGCACTTGTAATATAAATAACTATCACAAGAGGGTCAATCACACTCAAAATATACAAATATGTATGTATTATCTTACTATTGATTAAACTAACAATGATAGGTTTTTGTTAATTAATGCACTAATAAATACAATGAAAACAGTTTTACAACAGAATGATATGTTGAATAGAATGATACAAAATAATCAAAATGTACAGACACAGTCACAAAACGTTCCAGCCGACCATTGAAATTACCATTTGTTACAGGATTTTTCCAAAACTATTGCCAATTTTAACGCAGACAATTTGTCTCAAAGCCGAAACTTTAGAGAGCACTGCTGCCTTGCAACATTGGCCGAACGAATTCACTCTCCGAACTGCAAGGTCTCATTTAGTTGGACCAGGAGAAGTAGTAGGTATTCATAGTTGGGATCATTTTAAGGCCATTTTCTGTCATACATTTATCCATGAAAAAAATGTTACGTCACTATAGAGAACGATGACTATTAGAGTACAAGGCAGTAAAGAAGATATTTCATCAAATTTTCATGATAAAGTAAGATTATGTAAAGCTTTGAATCTTAACTTTGGGGAACAAAAAGAGCAAGTTGCTATAGGGCTTGCTTCCAGGGAACTGGCAAGTATGTTATGGCTAAGTCCCATGTAGATATTGACAATGTTTACCATGATTTGATAACATTTGACCGTCTAAATAATGAGAGAAAACAGGAGATATGCACCTCCAGTTTCAAGTGTAGTATAACATACCCGGGTTCGTTCAGTAAGATTGAACGATGAGAATTACCTTTTAAACAAGAAATCTTCTGAAAAATGGAATAAAAAACAAATAGGATCTACGTTGTGGAAACTTACTCAATTTTACTTACTGGACATGCGCCTGACATAGCAAATATTTAGAAAATTTAAGGGACGTTGTGATATGTAAAAGAAACGAAAAATTTGTGAAACGTCTACTTTATTATTAAAGTAAAACGTACCGTTTTCATCCTGGAACTAACGAGGGATAAGAGCACGGCAGAGAAACCCTCGATCTAACATTCCTCAAAAATCGAAACATACTGTGTCATTTTAATAATCACTGTGAGTCATTAATTCAATAATTTAAGTCAATAAAAGTTTAAATTAGGTACCGCCCCTGTTCTTGTGCTAAAATTTCAATTACACACACTACATTCAATCAACACTACCTATATATTCAATACTGAAGAGTTTTTGGTAAGTAAGACCATCTGTGGCAGGTACTGAGGTCCCTGGTTACGTAAACTCACAGCTATAGTTGTTTTTGAGCCAATATCTCTAGATCGATTATTTCATATTTCAATTTGTTAGGATATTCTCTCGTCAGGGTAGGAAAATGTTAGTAAATTCAACAAGGCCCTAATGCACGATCTAAATAAACAAAATCAAAATCTCAGCACAAAAAGACAGCACATAAACTCTTAGGTTTTAATTTACTTCTTTATCGGTGTTGTTTACAACATGAAACGATTTTTGGTAAAAACATGAACAATGCACATGTTATAAACAAACAAAAAAACATAAAAGTATAAATTGAACTCTCACAAATAAAATAATAATTATCTAACTCACCTGGTGATCGCTCCTTGATACACACACTAATAACAAATTGGATTGAACAATCAGTTTATTGCAAAATAAAAATAAAAATTGAATAATGAATAATTACAGACACGCGATACGCGTCTAATGGACCAGCTCCAGCTTGTTGTCTAATCTCTCTAATGCCTAATCGCCTCTTCTCTAGCTCCCATTCGGTTTGGTACCCTTTCAGTACGCTTCACGGCGCATACAAGGTTGCAACATTTATTTTTCTTCAGTAAACGTTTTTTTAAAAAGTTAAGATTTGAAGAAATAATATTTTAAATAGGTGGTTTTCCTCACAAGAGTACCAACAACCAGACTACTACCACGACCAGTTGCAACTGTAACACAACCAAGGATGCAAATGAGCAATAGCATAGCCGGCAATAGAAATCGAGACGACCAAACGGGAAAAGGATTCTTGTTCTAATTGTGGATCCCTCAAGCATAAATAAGGTAGCACACTGCCCAGGTACAACTGTGAGTAATAATAGTTATTTATGATATAAGTGTTAAAAGTACATTTTCAAGGCACGCATGTGAAAGTTTGCAGAATGAGCGAAGCGAATTCTGCAATTCACTTAAGTGCCTTAAAAATATTTTTAAGACAAAGAAAAAGAGGGTTGCATCGACCCCTTGAAAAATATAGATGAGGCGGCCAATCGGGCTACCTCAGTTGTTCACATTTCACCATTAATATCATTGTAAATAACTAAAAATACAAACTTTTTTTGACGTTCGCTCTCAAAATTTGATGATTCATTTTTAACACTAGTAATAAAGACTTTATGGCACTAGTGCGATAAAGTAACATTTTTAATGCTACGGGGGGGTGTTAAAAATTGCATTTTTAACACGTTTGTAGAAAAAAGTCATTTCACAGCTAATTTAGTAGATTCTGTTGCACCGTCTTACCAAATTTGTGGTGAACTTTCATTTGATAATAAGGTAGAGCCTATAAAAATATCACCAATTATAGATAACGGTAGTCCTGTGTCTTTTATTTCAGATATACTACTACCTAGCCATTTAGTTGATAAAAATATAGTTACTGCAACTTTTCACTGTGATTTAAGAATTGTTGGGAAATTTAAGTCTCTGCTATTGTATAATGGATGGAAGTATGATGTAATTTTTTTGGTAGTGCCAGAATAGTATATTAGGCAACAAGTTTAGTAAAGTGAGGTTTTACCAATTGAGTGTGGCCACTTTTGTGTACGAGGGAGCGAAGCGAGCAAGTGCTCTAAGGCCTCACGAGATTTGATTTTGAGATGAGATTTGATAGTTTGTTAGGTCGTGATTTTATTGCAAAAAATAAGTAAAATATTACTTTTGGTGAAACAATACAAATCAAAAAAGAAGAGGTATCTGAATTTATGAATATTTGTTATGTAAAATTTAAATCCTAATTTAGATTATAAAAAGAAACAAGAGTTTCTAACCATTTTTGATCAAAAATATGTTAAACCGGTTAAGCTGAGTGAGCCTGATGTAAAATATACATTCAAAAATTCTGTTATTCCTAACCATAGTCCTTTCTTTTTCCGACCTAGCCGCCTTTCCCAATTTGAAAAAATTGAAATAACTAAAATTATTGACGAACTACTCGCAGAAAATATAATCCAGAAAAGTAACTCCGAGTCAAGCAGCCTAGTCGTTCTAGTACCTAAGAACAATTCAGAATCCCTAGGTGTATTGTAATGATCCAGAAATTTAACCCGATAATTACAAAGTCTTTACTGTAAAAATTAAATTTTATCAAATAATCAAAACTTAATTCCGGTATTCTTAAATCAGTATCGATAAATTAAAATGAAACAAATTAACGCTAACGCATTGCGACACCCAGCGTGATCTCATCCAAACACCCAGAGATAAATACTATATAAACTGTCGAGAATGGAATCTCAGTGTAAATTTTGTTGTCAACAAAATTGAGCCAAGCCAGCGCCATCTACCATATCGGAAAATCACTATTTACTGATTTTGCATCGATGCTACAGACACCTACTTTACATAGGACTTTTTATGATAGATGGCGCCCTATTCGCATTATTGTCGGTCTGTTCAAATTCGTTTATTCTAGACTTTGGGGCATTAATGTTTGCTTAAATTAATTGATAATTTTTTAATTAGATCAAAAGATAGTTTCTTTATCGATGGTTAAGGATATCCTTAACATATTTATTCAAAGTTCTGATTGATGTTTAATTGAACCTGTCATTAATCTAATCAACAAAGATAAAAATAGATCTTCCAATCTATAAAGTTTGAAGTTCCTCTTGAAACACACAGAACAACTTTGAAATCACTGAAGAACACTTGACAACACAAAGAAAGATGAAATGCAAGACTGGCGAACAAAAAACATTATGAAATTAGTTATGATCAAAGTCCTTATTCTTGAAACAGGGGAGCAGCGTTCCCAGGAGAACGAGTGTTCCGTCTTTGTTACTTATATTATCAGTTGCATATCGTTGAGAAAGACAGAACACTCGTTCTCCTGGGAACGCTGCTCCCCTGTTTCAAGAATAGGGACACAAATGAATATTTTGGCATATTGTCATACGTTGACATGTCAGTTATCGACATCGGACGTGTTCTTGATATGCTGGTATTTTACATTTTTGACAATTCTGTGGTTGTCAGCGACATCTAGAAAAACGGAAAAGAGTTATTATGTGGTTTATAACTGGCAATGAGAGATGGCAGGGCCTGCAAACACCCGATCAATGAACTTTTTTTAGCGAGGCCAAGTAATTAATTATAAATGATTTATGGCATTCTTGACCCAATAATGTCTTCGACCCCGATAAATCAGTATATTGCGACATAATTATTCGATTTAAACTAATAAAATGACAAAAATTTCAAGGAAATTGCATCATCTTAATTGTCATGGACACAGAATTTCAGAGGGGAAACA